AGAGAGGGGGAGGAGAGAAGGGGGAAGAGAAAAAGAGAGAGAGAGAGAGAAGATCGGATCGTTGCCGTCGGGAAGAGATTGCCGACTCCATGTTAGCGTTGACTCGAGCGAGTCTCTTTATTGCGCAGCAACGACCTCGACTACGGATTTTGCCGAATTTCCACGCGTCCTCTCTTTCTCTTTCTCTTTCTCTTTCTCTCTCTCTCTCTTTCTTACTCTTTCTTTCTCTATTTTTTCTTTTCTTACTTTGATTTCGAAAAGAAAAATGGGGGATGAGAGAATCATGAGAGAAATAGGGAAAAAAATGGGATTGAGATAAAGATAGAAAATAAAAGAAAGAGAGAGAGAGAGAGGGAGAGAGAGAGAGAGAGATGAGGTGTCGTCGAGGACAACGATGACGACGATGACGATCAGACGATTGCAAAGATTTTTCTTTTTATTTTCACGTAACAACACCCGACACACGTCCTCCATTTTCTTTTTCCGTGTCTCACTTGCGCTAGGCGACCATAACCTACATCTCGTTACATCGTTTTCTTTTTACACATTTTATATTACTTATTATATAGTTATATATGTATATGTAATAAGAGAGTATATAATATACATTATGTATATGTATATACATCCTATATATTTATTGTATATATGAAAGATTATGTGAGATACTTATTCGATATGTTATACACACATATGTGTCGATATATAATAGCATTCATTATTTAATATAAAAAAGGACGATGAGAGATTATGTTTGATTATAAGTAAATAATCGATTATTATCGATCTATATAGATCGATATGGTAAGATTAATGATGATCTATGTGATATTATGAATTTACTAATTCATTTTAGAAATAGAAAAGTTGGAACACTATTTTTGAGTAAAATTGAAATCGTTATTATCCGACGATCGAATTAAAGAAATACGAGAAAGACAGAAAACGATAGATAGATAGAATGAAAGAGAGAGGGAGAGAGAGAGAGAGAGAGGTGTCTGCTTTTGGTCGAGGTCTTCAACCAGGTCCGCGTGTGGTACCTAAAAATAAACTTTCGTATTGCGATAGTTGAGAAGGCATGAAAGAGAAAGAGAGAGAGAAAGAGAGAGAGAAGGATTGTCGTTGCATCGTCATGTGCGACGACATCGTAAGAAAAGTTGTACTGGAAGATATCAACGACGACGAAATATGAGATTACGAATGAATACGACACACACACAAAAAAAACTAATAAATAAACATACAAGAAATGGGAATTTCAAATAAAATAAAAGAACAGAAATAATAACAAAATTCTAATAAATTTCTATTGGAAATCAATCATTGATAAATTGTATATATATAACACCATAGCCAATAATATGTGATCAATCCGTGCATTCATTCATTGGTCATATCGAATTAAATTCTGAAGTAGAGGGAGTAGGGTTTAGAAAGTGTTTCATAAAATCATAAGAGTTCAATTCTAATTGGATTAGATTGAAGAAAACATTAGACAGATCTATTGATATGTTAACAAAGATTTATCAACAGTATATTAGGAATAATACATATAAGTGAGTATGTATGTATGTATATGTGTGTATATGTGTAATGGGTATATGGATGATGCGTTTATATTTTACTTACAGCATCACGTAAAGATGAACATGTTGGTTGGTTGGTTCGTTGGTTGGTTGGTTGAAATAAGTTGACGAAATAACGACGATAGTAGTAGTAATATAACGACAAAGAGGACGACGACGACAACGACGACGATAGAAGTAGTCGTAGCAGCAATAGTAACAGCAGTAGCATGTTTCACGACGATAGTTAGTTAGTTAGTTAGCTAGCTAGCTAGCTAGCCAGCTAGCAGCAGTCACGGTCACAGTCACGTAGTCTACGACGAGAAACTATCGCGACAAGATGCGCTTTATTGGACGGTGTAACACATACCCATAGGGCAACCACACTCCTCATCATATCATCATCATCATTATTATCATCACTGTGTCACAGCTGGATAAGGGACCAAAAAAAGGGATAGAATGGAATAAAAGTATGGAATAAGATAGTGACAGACATATCAAGAGAAAGGAAGAGAAATCGAGAAGAAAGGGATACGCAACCACACAACACACGTACTACACATACACACACACACACACTATATAGTATAAAGAGAGAAAGAGAACGAGCAAATAAACAATAAACAACAAACCAAGTATTTAACTGTTGTGTGTGTTATATTATACCGAAATGGAAGAAAAACACAAAATAAGAGGAAAACAAAGTATTCTTGAAACAACTTATGTCTCCCGGGAAAGTGATAATCGGTAATGTGTGTACGTGTGTCTGTGTGTGTGTGTGAGAGAGAGAGAGAGACTTATATGCAACAAACATACACATAGAGAGACATATAAAGAAAAAGAGAGAAAGAAAGAGAGTGAGAGAGAGAGAGAGAGAGAGTGTTAAAGGGGGTCAGGAGGGGGTGATGGATAAAAAAGGGAGGTGGAAAAAAAAGGAATGGAAAAATAAAAAACAAGAAGAGACGGCAAAAAGGCTTGGCTCGTCTCCTCTTCTCTTGGATTTTCCTTTTTCCTTCTTCTTTTCCTCCTCTTGGAAATCCTTCTCTACACCACCTTTAACACCGCCTCCACCATCTCCTCCTTCACTTCCACCTCATCTAACTCCTTCCTTCTCTTTCGTTTACCTTAGCTTCTTCTTATTCTTCTTCTTCTTCTTCTTGTTCTTCTTCTTTTCAACGATGATCCCAGTAGGTCTTTTAAATAAACTATTCAATGATTTTTTTATCACTTGTATAGGTGTGTTTTCCAATGACGACGACGACGACTACGACGACGACAACGACGACGACGACGACGACTATGGTGACGATGACAATGTGACGTTCACGTTAACTTTGACGTTGATGACGACAAGATTGAAAAATCGCGTCACTTTATAAGTAAATTTTCAATAACTATTAGAAAAACTTTCGAGGACACCGACGATGATAACGGGGAATACACAAAACTCACGTTTATAATATATATATATAGATATATATTTTCGTTCTTTCTTTCTTTTTATCGAATAATAAAAATGAAAATAGAAGTAAAAGAAAGAATAAAGAAGACAGAAAATCCAGACAAATATATTTATATATATGTATATATATATATATATATTAATATTTATGTCTCTCTCTCTCTGTTTATAAGATTGAGAAAGAAAAATAGAGATAAAGATAGAGAGAGAGAAAGAAAGAGAGAAAGAGAGAGAGAGAGAGAGAGAGAGAAAAAGAAAGAAAGAAAAAAAGAAAGAAAGACAGACAGATAGACAGACGATAGACGGTGAGTGTAAGAAAGAAATGAAGATAGATAGATAGATATATAGATAGATAGATGGATAGAAAGATAGAGAGAGAGTGAGAGAGAGAGAGAGAGAGAGAAAGATCGAAAGAGATAGAAGAGACGGTGCGCGGAGAGCAGCGGAGAGCGACCGCGCTCCTTCTTGCTTTCTATCTCTTCTTTAGTAGTGATTCGGTGCAATCGAGTTTTCTGACTGAAAGCTTGGACCACGAAGAGCCGTGCCCCGTGAGCCACCACTTCTACCAACCTAATATTTACCTATAACAAATGTTACTAGATTTTACTAATCTTTCGTCCAAATAGATGTTCCCAATAATTATTTTATTCTACTATCTTATTGTTTTGTTACTTTTTTTGTTTTTTTTTTTACATTTGTAAATATTTATATATATATATGTATATATAGTTAAAGATAAAAGTATATTCGTGTGTATTAATACTGTAGTAGTAATATTATTAGTAATATTATATATTATAGTTATAGTTATATAATTAAAAAGTTAGAATTAGTAGTAATATGTAAAATTGTATTACTAATAGTAATAGTTAATAGTTAATAAGTAATATATGTTAAATTATTATATATATATATATATGGTATATAGGTATAGGTATATACTATACTACTATACTACTACTATAGGTATACCTATATAGTATATAGTAGTACCTATATAACATATACCTATATATATATATATAGTAATATATGTATATTATTAATTATAAGATTTGTAATATAACTATATATACCTTTTTTTTGATAAATATTTTGTAATAATAATTATTTTCACATGCAAACACCCACACATTTATAAATAGATTTTTATATACGTTGATTCATTAAGTCCTATGCAAATTAACCATTAGTGTACGTGATTTATCGTGATTTCTATACAACATTTTTATACTTATCGTTGAAATCACAATTTCAATACATTTATACAAATATTTCAACTTAATTCGAATAGTTTGAACAGAATATTATTCCCATAAGTTATAAAATACTTGTCATCGAATCGATCATTTTACTCATTCGTTGAAATAAATCTGTTGTTTCATTACGATTAAATATCTATGCACGTGATGCAACAGGTTTTACTTGTCCGATATATAACAATAAAATTTTTCATATATTCATTCATTTGCAAGAGTGTTTTGATTGATTGTGAACATTTTTTATCGATTTCTAAAAAACAAAAACAAAAAACAAAAAAATTAACAATTACGTGTGAATATTAAAATATTTCTAATTATAAACAAAATATCATATATATATATATAATTAAAAATATAAATATATAATATTCATCTTCGAAATTCAATAAATTTATCACGTTTTCTATTTTTCATTAATTAAGATTCATTATATTGACAATTTTCACTTGCATAAGAATACGTAATTAAATAAAAAAAGTATTAAATCTATTTTATACAAATGAGTATAAATATATATATATATATATATATACATAGATGCAAGAAAAAAAAGTATTATTCTTAATAATAATAAAAAAAAGAAAATACAAATATAAAAATAATTAAAACCTTAAATAGTTTTTTCTTCGAATAGAGAATCACTGACATAACACTATCATACGATTACATTGGTAACACTGTTTGATCATGATTGGCTAACGATGAACTAACTGTACGTTGATTGGTGACTTGATCAAGTGTCGCCATCTTGTGGAAGTGTACTTAACTTTTTCACAGTTGAGTGGTGGGGCATCTAGTAGGGCGCGTACGACGAATGAACGCGAGTATTAGCAGGCAGCGACACACGTCTCTTCTACATAACCTGTTTAGAGTCATTTTGCGAGAATATTGGCTTCTACGAATAAATCGTAAGTTCAGAGAGAGAGAGAGAGAGAGAGAGAGAGAGAGAGAGATAGATAGATAGAGAGGAGACAGACACGAGTCTATACGACGAAGTTTATTCGTGATTTCAAATCATTCGAAAAGAAGAATAATACGAAAAGAATTTGAAACTCATGAAATAAAAGTAACGAATTGAAAAAAAAAAAAAAAAAAAAAGAGAAACATAACAAATATTAATTTTCTTCATTTGACTTTCGTATTACTTACTCGCCATATTTCATCAGAAGATAACGCGTAGAAGTTAACGGTGGAAGAAGTAGTGTGATTTATCGTTGAGAATGAAGAGCTGAGAGATAAATTTGTGACAGTAAGAGTTGGAGGTAAGAGAACATATATCTATATATATATATATATTTATATTCCTGTATTATTTACATTAATACTTCAAAAGATTTATTTATTTACTTATTTATTTATATATTTTTTTTGTTCACCTCTCTATATTTGATTGTAATATTTAAATGTGTGATGTTTTATCTTGTAAATTTTTTATATAAATCAATCAATATGGTGATTATTTTTTATTATTTAAAACAAAAGTATCATAACACACTGATGTAGTATATTTGACAGAAATTCTTCTCGTGTTTTTGTCACATTTCAGTATACAAAAAAATAATACAGTGTCTATGTGTGTTTTTCCTATGTGTGTGTGTGTGTGTGTGTACATTTGTTACGTGTTTTTGACAGTGGCTGATGTGTTATGTGTTGTGTCGCGTGTCACTTAGAAACATGACTGTTTTTTTTCTTTTTCTTTTTTTAATTAATCACGTGATGAGTAGTGTATAAAAAATTAATTGCTTGTGTAAAATAGTGAACCTTTTTTTTTATTTATCGTTGTATTTGTCAACGAAGAAACAAGATCACAAGTTATGTAATCAATACAATTCTAATCGTAACAGTTTAAAAAAAAAAAAAAAAAAAAGAAAAAAAACCTGAAAATATTTTTTCAGGTTCGTTATCGAGAAAGATTAAAAAAGGAACACGTGAGGATCTTACGAATAGTGTCGTTTTATTACAACATTTAAATGATCGTATAGATAAAATTTATTTTATATTTCCCGCGCAAACCTTTCATTAAAAAAAAAAAAAAAATTGTCATTTTACTAATAACAAATAAATAAATACGATTATTCAAAAATTTGAATGAAGTTAAAAAAAAACGAAGATAATTTAATTTTAATTTGTCATCAAAGTTTATACTACGTTAATCTTACAAAATGAGAAATTTTTCGTTAAATGAAATTTATTTTGAAAGACACACATTTCATTTACCAACACAAAATCCTCAATTTTTATATTTAAAAAAAAACACACACACATCCTGACAAATGCTGTTGTTATCGTATTCAATGAAAATTGTCAGCAAATTTTTAAATCGTTAAAACGTGTCAGTTTTAGAACAATGAATCAAATTTACGGTGTCTAAGAAACTGCGCTGTATAAAATCCGACCAAGGATTATTTTCAATAAATTTTTGTAATAATTATGTAACAACACGTGTGTTGTAATCTATAAAAAACAAAAAAAAACGACTATAATACGGAAACAAGATTAAATCGGCTGTTTGATTGTATGAACCCTTTCTTTATTTTTTTATTATTATTTCAATATACTAAAACTACCCCCTTTGAAATGATGTCAGTATGTTTTGAAACACCCTGTATATGTGAGAAGCACATAGAAAACAAGAGTCAGTGCGCTTGCTCGGAAATGTCAATGAACCCGTGAACGAACGAACGGCAGAACATTTCTTGCAGACGGTTTACTTTCGCATTTCCCCCTACCCCCTTCCCCTTTTTCCCCTCCCTCCTGCTTTTTTTGGTCTTTTTTTCTCATCAATTTATATTTTTTTTTTCCTTTATATAAATATATATATATATATTTGTTTTTATCTTTATTTTTATTTTGTCGCAAAGATCCTTCTCACTGTTACTCTCCCCCATCCCCCTTTCGAGCGTTTGAAAATAAATGCAATCTAAAAATAATTTGTTATTTATATGCGATTTTATTATATAGATCAAGATGAAAGAAAATAAAAATAAGAAAAAGAGAGAGAGAGAGAAAGAGAGAGAGAAAAGAAAAGAAATAAGTTTCATAATGGTATTTTGTAATTTATTTAATATTTTATTTCATCTGTAGTATATTATTTCGTTTGATCAATATTTGATTTTATTTTATATTTGTTTGTATATATATTAAAATATTAAATTATAAGTATATATAAAATGATTATTGTAATAATATATAAAATACCAAAATTATAAATATAAAATATATTAAATTAGGGGTGCACCGCCACACTTTGCTGTGGCTCACAATCAGTCCGATACACACGTCTTGAATTAATAAACAACAAATAATTGGCAATAAAATAATATTGCGATTATATATTGAGATATAAATTATCCTATCTTTCAAGTTGGTTGAAACTGCACACTGTGTGGAAAATTTGTTTAAAATCGGTTCAGTAGTTTAGGAGTTCATTGCGGACAAACAACGTGACACGTCATTTATATATATTAAGATATTAAAATATTAAACTTTGATTATTATATATATATATAAAATAATAAAATTGTAGATATATCTAAAGAGAGAGAGAGAGAGAGAAAGGAAAAAGGATGATAGATAGAAGTATTCATAGATAATTTCCAAATAATTATCTTAAAAGATTAATTTTCAACACATGTTACAATAATCATTGTTAAAATGTTTCCTTCACCGAAAGTAATTTTTGTAAATTTATTTCATAGAATGTGGGATCATCGTAAGGGGTACAATTTTTCCTTTTTCCTTTTATTTCTTTTTATTTTTTATTGTCTTCTCAAACGTTAAGGTGTACTCTAAACGAAGGACGAGAGAAAAGTAAAGAGCTAAAATAAAATCTAAGTCGTTTGTCGGACGAGGTCAACTTCTCTTTCTCTCTCTCTCTTTCTCCCTTTCACACACACACACATATATATATATTACTTACTCACATACACAACAACCAACTATTTCACTTTTTTTTTTGTCAAACTCCATCTCTTTCTCTCGAATTTCTATCTTTCTCCAGGAATACCACCTTTACCACGGACAATATTAAATGTCCGATTTTTTTCAAAAATAAAATGACGAAGTTGTTGTTGGACACACGTATCACATAGAATAACAAAAAAAAAAAAATATTATCACTACAGTGAATGATAAAATTAGTTATTTCAAAGATCTGTAAAATACAACAAAACTACCCCCGTTATTAAATTCGGTAAAGTCATTTTTACGACACCCTATATATATATAATACATATATGTATATGTTTGACTAAACGTTTGTATACATATGTCTATTCATAGAATCAACTAAAAGGGGGGAGGGGTGTTGAAAAAAGGGGAATGAGGAAGAAAGTAGAGAAGAAAAGTGTACCAAAATTCTTTTCCTACACCTCATTGAAATTACTAAACAACTCGCATAATATGTGTTAGAAATAATGAAAAAAAGAAAAAAGAAAAAAGAAAAAAGAAAAAAGGTGAAAGCGTTTAATTGGTGGGAGTTCGTCCTTCGTTAAAATCCCACACACTACAATCGAGCGTTACCGGTTATAAGTATTACGAATTCACCTTGTGACCTTGTTCCTTACGGGTTTTAAGTAGTCACGAGCCAAAGAGGAGCCCTCTCCCTTTCTCTCTGTATCACTGTATGTTCACCTGTGCACATTGGTGAGTATTTAAAATAGCGAAGAGTAAAACAGTGGTTCTCTAACGCGTAACTTAAAATATAACCAATCAAAAATCATTTTAATATACGCTAGATAAAAACTAAGATTTTTTTGTAAGTAATAATTTTTCGATTAAAATCAAAAAAGGGATACTATAAAAATAACAGTACGAATTATTTTGAAATATTATTACTTGAAACAAAAAACTATGATCAACTATTGATTATTTAGTATCATTCTCTTCTAATTAATTAATTTATTTTTTTTTTTTTTCTAGAGATGAGCGGCTCTCGGCTTGGAAGAGGCCGAGGTGGTCGCCTGGCCGTGTACGGGGGTTGCGGGGTGGTGATCATACTTTTGGTCTTCCTTTACCGTGCCGCCACCTCAGAGATGGCCAGGCTACGTGAACTTCATATACAGTGTGTTCATCAACACGAATCACTTGCTGCACAACTTCAAGGTATATATATACACTTTACTTTTACTTTCGTTCCACCCTTTATATTTGCATGACACGCTCTATATCATTTTATTACTACTACAACTGATACGATAAAATACAGTAACATGTAAAATCTTCTTAACACGTTCCGTGCCACGTGTACTACCGGTGCTACATATTTAATCTTTTGACAATGTTTATAATAAATTTAATTCTGTAAAATACAGTAGAGTATAGAACAAGGTACATAAGTTTGTTAAATTATTATATTTACAATAATTAATAATAAACATGTAATGTGTGATTGATTTTGTTAAAGCAAAGATCAAATGACCTGTACGACAAGTCAGCTGAAAACAAAGTTTGTCATGGAACGTGTTAACAAGCTTTGTACAATTACGAATATGAATTTTTATTTTTATATGCAAGTTATACCGAAAATAAAAAAACAACAACAACAACAGAGGTGCGCATGATTTGTTTTCAGTGATATTCGAGTACAAGGTGCGTTTAGAAAAATCATTGGCCGAGGAGAAGAGTTCTAATGCCATGGCTAAACAAGAATTACAGCAACGTGCCTCACGAGAAAAATCATTGAGAGACAAGGATAGTATGGAAGCTATGCAAAGATTTAAATCTCTTCAACAATCTTATAAGATTTTACAAACTGACCATCGTGATCTTGAAGAGGAATGTAAGAAACAAGAGGCTCATGCATATGAAGAAAAGAACAGATTGGAATCTATGCAGGAGAGTGTTATCAAACGAATTGTTGAGAATAAAGATAAAATTATTAGCGAGAAGGAGAATACATTGGAACGTTTTAAAAACAAATATTTTGATTTAGAAACGGAAAAGGAAACATTGGAAGAGAAATATAAAGATTTAATCAAGAGTACTGGTAATACCGATAGTACCATCGAACACCTGAAAAAGGAAGTCTTTCAATTGAGAACACAACTGGAGGAAACAAAGGTAGTTTGGATTTTTGTTTTACATTTTTTTAACTTAAGACAGATTTGTATTTGATCAAATGTGACTAATTCAAATTGTTTGTTTTTAGAAACAATGTAAATCAACTTTAGCGGAAACAAGTTTGGTTAGTCCTAAAGAATCACATCAGTCGAATGATCAAAACTTGACGGGTAATGCTGTGATAGATCCAACACAACAAGAAGAACAACAACAACAACAAAAACATGTACATGAACAGGAGCAGCAGGAGCAACAACAACAGCAGCAGGCACAACAACAAAATATGCAGGTAAGTCGGCCGAACAACGACGATGAAATGAATTCTGAACCTCTGCCCGCTCCTCGCAATCATCACGCAATCGGAGATGCTTTATCGAACGAAAAGAACATGCAGGATGAACAGGACGACGCATTGCCGAATCAGGAACAAAGTAACGTCAGGTTTGCACCTGAAAATGGGAATATAATACCGGTAGGTCCTAGCGAAATGAAGGAGGACCAACAACAAAAAATATTACCCTTGCCGTACGATTTAAGAGACAAACGTTTGAAAAAAGACAAAACGTTTCCTTCCGCGGCTGATGATAATGCCGAAATAGATGAAATTCCGAAGAAAGATACGAATGTCGTCGATGGTGTACAGGATTCTCAAAAAAATGTCCTAGCACCACCGAAAATGTCTTCCTCCAAGGATCCTAACGAACTTGACAATAAAATACAAGATGAAAGATCAACGAATAATGGTGATACTTTGATACGACCGGATTCACCAAATAACTTTGCTGATTTTAGGGATATCGATAATGAGATAGATCCTTGGCAACAAAAGGAAGTTGGAAATTGAATTGTTTTCTTGTTTTGAGGTTTTCGTAATGATCAGAGTCAACGTCGTAGTTTTTGTTCTGTTTATGGTTTTCATAATAGCAAAAAGTTGGAATGAAACATCATTGTTTAGAAACGTACGATCTAAATTACATATATACATACATACAAACATACATACATATATATATTTTTCAACAACGTAAACAAAGCATTACGAAACCGGCGACACGCTTGGATCTTCTCTCGAATGAGTGTCTGGGTTTTGTCGCATTATTTGTGAGAATGTGCCTTCGAGTGATATCTCTTATTTTTAACCCTTTGAATGTGAATCATTTGTAAGATTCAAACGTTTTGATATTATGCATTATATATATATATATGAAATTTAAATCGATATAAATCGAAATATTATTTATTGTATTGTAGTATTGCAGAAATATAAATATTGTAATTTAATTGTATGTGGGTATTATATATAAACAGTATTAATCTATCTCTCAATTTTACTTATATTAGAGATGTAAGTTGTGTCATACACGCCATATTACATTCAAAGGGTTAACAATATTCTATATGTGCATTTATATTAGTTACTCTAGCGCAGCAGGGTACTTTTTTTTGGGTTATTTTGTTGTTTTGTATTTTTATTTTACTTTTTATTTTATTTTTTTGGTCTTTCTTTTTTTTATTGGATTGTTCGAAAAGTAATTTCGTTTTATTTTTCTTTGTGAAAATGAAGACAATTTATGTTTCGAGATTAAACTTTGGATTTTACGGAGAGTGGGTTTTTTTAAATAAGGGGTTTAATTTGATCAATTTAAACTCTGTGTTATTTGCCAATTTGTATTAACACCCTTAAAGTGTACTGTGGATGTTTGACACCCCCGAACGTGTTTGAAAGCGTCTCCTGAAGCAGCTATTTTAATATTTAGACGCATTCGCAATTTTTTTCAAAAGTAGTTTGATACATCCTTTTTAAAAATAGAATAGGTTTTATAATTAACTGAATGAACACTAGATTGCATTAGACAAATAACCCATTTTTTTCGAATACAGTACCGTTTTTGAAAGATCAAAAATTTGTTTTGGGATGTCAAACACCCCATGTGCACTTTAAGAATTAACTAATTCACAAAATTGTGTTAAAAAGGAAAAAAACGAAATTATTTTCCAAACAATCTAATAGTATGGTTTTAATTTTATTTTTTTTGTTTGGTTACATATACATATATATTATAATTTTGTAATTTCTTTAATTAAATTAAAAAATGTGTATTTTTGTTTTTTTTATATGCCATGTAGTTTGCATGATTTTTAACTGGGTATGGTAGATAGACTACTACTGTGACAGCTATACACTATTTAATTATTATTCGAATTTTTTTAAATCGAGATGATATTTTATAATCGATAGAATCGCGAATTTCTTTTTTTTTCTTCTTCTTTTTTTTTGTTATTACATATAAAGAATTATTTACCGAACAATATATATTTATTTTATAAGAGAGACACGCGTTTTTTATAATTAAAAATTAATCAAAGCATTTTTATTCTTCGATAATATTACATTATAAATAAATATAAAATCGTTTTTGATTGTAATTATATTGAAAAATAAATAAAAAAAAAAAAAGAAATTATTAAAACGAACAACGTTGAATGAAATGCAATACATATATATATATATATA